AGTGGTTTTCAACCCTGCTCAGTTGGTAGGTGGCTTGTGCAATTTGATCTCAGCATTCCGAAGGTCTATTCCATTTCAACTGCAACCCCTCGGTTTGAGCCTGCCTTTTGCCAAAATGCAGCCCCGCGTCACAAGCCTGTAAATCGATGCACGGAGTGCTGTCCGTCGTAAACCCAGGATGGATGTGTTCCCTGTCAATACCCGAGGGGGTCGACCCTCCATTGGCTAAAAACAAATAAAACCATTACCAAAAAACACATGTGTATATATGATAATATAATATATATATATATACATATGTATTTTGTATACATGCACACATAATATGAACGAATATACACATATGTGTACACGAGCGCACCTACTGGAAGAACAAGCAAGCGCTCTGGAACCGCCAGGGGCCAAAGCCTCCGGTCATCCTCTGGCAGACTCCCCCTGGCAGCTGACTCAAAACGAGACTCCCCCCTCAGATTTGGGCAGCCTTTGCTTTCCAGAAGCATCACGAGTTTGGAATCGGCCCATACCTTGTGAACCCAATTCGAAAGTTGTTGCAATTGCCAACCTTTACTGCGTCAACCTGGCAAAGTAAACTTTTACACGTATGTCAAACGAGGTGCCCCTCAGTTTGATCCCTGGGTTGTTCAACATGGGATCCCTAATCCAAATCCGCAAGTCGGAAAACCACCACTGCCATCCGTTGGGCTGGGAGAGGAAAAAACAAGGAGTGACTTTACGACGAGTTTCGGCACACTTTGCTTTTTGTAGCTGCGGGGATAGAAAAATATTGAGACCATTAAAAAGGCCCCAGGGTCCATGTCGATGTCTCGCCTTTCGGATGGGCCCTCGCTGCGGCTGCGTTGGCCGCTGCGCGAGCGCGATCGGCTGCAGGCGCGGGCGTTGCGGGTGCCGCGGGCGACGCGGGAAAAGCGCGGCACGGGAGCTTCTGCAAGGGTTACCTGGGCCGGTCCCAACTCAGTAGATACGCGTAGAGGGTTAAATGTGGTGCTTGGTTCCCTTGATTTTTTTGCTATTTCTCTTGCTTTTGTCTGGTTATCTTGCTTTTTGCCTTCTGTACTTTTTGCTTTCTTTATTGGTTCCCTCCAAACAGTGTGCATCCAGCTCTCAGGAATCCGTTTCACCACTATAATTATTTTGTATCCAGTGTTGTCGTCGGGTTTTTGATTGGGTGCTTGTGTTGGGGGGTTTCTACAGAAAATGGATCCAGCGGGGTGTGAGGTTTTCAGGGACCTGCCATGGCACTTTTTGAGGCTAACAGCTTCTTGCTGCTCATTGCGCAGATTGGGCGGGATATGGAAATGGGCGCACCATGGACTTGTCCAAAACGAGCGAATATGTGTGGAAACTGGAAAGCACACACCGGAACATACCGGAACAATGTTGCCATTGAGCGTTCGTTTCACGAAATCAGCGTGTTTGTCTGCAACTGGCTTTTTTCTTTTTGCTCGATCCGGGAAAATCGCACAACATGTGCCCAAGGATGGCCTAGGTATGGGGTGTGGTTCTTGGGGGGACCGACTCTAGTGGATTGAAGGGGGACATTGGACAAAAACTTCTGTGGCTCCGTACCCAAATTGCCCAAGGTGATGTTTTCTTATGAAAGGGAAAGGGAACCCCGGCAGCTGCCATCAGAATGTGGCTGTGTCTTTTGAGCAGGCCCCGCCTTGTTTCTTGGCTGAAAGCCACACAAGAATCAAACAGAAGTTTGCCTCAGTCCTGTTGCGAGAAAGGATGGGCTGAGAGAATCTTGCCTCTAAATGCGAGCGCCGAACCCTCAGAACTGGCGATGGTTTCTCTCACCAGCCTTTAGAGATTAGCGGGGGGAAGTGGAGTTGCCTGTCCGTCCACCTAACTCCATCCCCGAGCCACCTTCGAGATGATGCAAAAAATGTACCATGGTTTTGCTTGTTGCTTGGCAAATTTGCAAGTTTCGGAGATGAGCTTGTCCCCCTAGGGTGCTAGGAACTTCCCGAGCGCTCGGCGGACTCCCTGAGCACCCCGCGCTATTGCCGCGAGGGCCTCGTGCAGCTGTTCGGCCAGGATCGGACCTGGCAGTCCGCGAAGCTTCCCGGAACGCCGCCCAAACCTCTTGGCGAAGATGGGTGGGAATCTCCGGAAAGGATCCAAAAGGGGGCGGTCGATCCCGAAACAGATTTCAACCAAAGTGGGACTGGGGGATTCTTGGCATCCCTGTGCTTCTTTCGGACACAATGCTCTGAGTTTCGGGGGGCGTGGGGAGAACTGTTCACTGGTTGGCCTTGGCCCCCTTGGTGCAAATCAGATACATGTGGCCCAAAACCGGCCAAAACTCCTTGCGTAGGCCATGGGTATGGCTCCCTGAACGCGAATCGTTAGTTGCGTCTGTCAACATCCCGCAGGGGCTCAACAAACACCCCTAACCCCAAGTAAGAAACTTCACAAAGTGAGCCCTGGATTAGGGGCCCGAAACCCTGGTGTTCCTCGTCGTTCCCCTTTTTGCACCACGGTGTTGATAGCCTCCACACACCCCACGGAGCCGACTTCGACTTCGGATCCGCCTCCTCCAGGTTTCGGCTGGCCGCACGGGCGAGGGCCTGCCTCAGTGACTCAGGTGGGTTTGAAGTGGAGTCCCTTGGGCGCAGAGGAAACAACTCAAAGAGGCATGGGCAGTGTTCTATATGTTGTGATGAAGATAGGCATTTGGAGGCTTACGGCCAAGACCTCGCTTTTTGTCACATCTGTTTTGCATGGAGCGTAAACAAAAGGCGTAAGAATGTAAGTCCATCAACTGCGTAACGCCTCAGAAAAGGGGCGCAAACCCCCAGATCAAGCCAGCGGCGGTCGTGGCGCACGGCGCGGTCACCTAGGCCGTCACTTTCCGCCCGCTCGCTCGCTCACTGTGCCCACGCCTTGCGGCCCGCGCGGCCCTTGCGGCCCTGGCCCCGGGCGACGAGCGCCCAGAAGTCCGGACCTGACACAGGATCGAACTCCAGGAAAGGCCGGGCAATACCCAAAGACTTGCCAGGCACTCTGGGCGTGGACTCTGCAAACGGTACGCGCCCCAGCCCTCTTTATGAGGGAGGCTGTGTGCGGATATCTCTGCCCCGGCACCCGCCTCCGGAAAGCCTCCCGCTTGTTCAACGCATCCTGATCCATGCGACCAAGCACACTGTCACACTACCCCACCCCTCTCTACCAAGGTCCTGGTATCCCCGCTGCGTCGCCTGCACCACGCAACACAAGCATGGGCGGCCGCTTCGTCTCTCTCGCCTTTTGTGCCAAGACCTTGCCCACCCCGGGCACAAGCTGGTCATGCATCGACCTGGCAGATCTTACCGCTCCAATGGAATCTTCGACTTGAGGCCGCGCCTCACCGCTTGGTCTGCGTCGCCATCTTCCAAGAAACGGACAAATGCAAAGCCCGCAAAGCCGGTCTCCACGGCCTACGCAGAAAAATGAATTTCCAGGAAAAAGCGCAGTGGCCAGAGCCTTGATGGGCCCAAATTGCTCGAAGGCTCGCCTAGTTCAGACATGGCAACGTGTCTGAAACCATGGGAAATGACGTTGGTTTTTGCAACCCTGCTGGACAAGATTGGCAAGTCTTATGTGAATCTGTGTCCTGCAGCCACCTTCCACGACCCAAAGCAAGATTTACCGCCAGCGCGAGAAATCTTTCCGAGCCAAGTGGCTCCAGCACGCTTGGGGGCGCATCACTCTTCACCTGTGCCAAAAACGCCGCTTTTTTCCTCTTCGTCCGGGACCCACACCCTGGTCGCAAACGTGGGGTTCAGCGAAACGCTGCTAGCATTCTTCCCTCATACTCACAACAGGTGCCACCCCCGCCCAAAAGAAAGAAAGTGGGTTTCCCTCAGTGAGCTTCGGATGGAAAGCGCTCTTGGGGTTTAATCCCTTTTTTAGGTAGTGGTTGAGTCCATTTAGATTTAGATGAACCGCTGTAGGTACGCCCATGTATCGGCTTGAATCCCAGGACTGAGCCACAAAAGGAGCCGCGCTCACATCGTCGGCCTTGCCAACCCATACCATCCCTGGCATGGGCGGCGAAGGGTCCGACCCGGCTTTCGCCATGGTGCGGCTGAGCGCTTACGCGCCTACCGCAGGAAGCTTGAGTCTTCAGTCAATGCCGTGGATGGGCAAATCTGCAAATATATATATATATATATATGCATAAGCACATGTACACATATATATATATCGTGTGCATGGATGCATCTTTATACATATAATATGATTGTACACATCTTATGCATATACAGAGGTATGGATTCATTTCTGTAGCTTAGTGGCCATATATTCATTCATTTACTCATTCATTCATTCATTCATTCATTCATTCATTCATTCATTCATTCATTCATTGAATCAGACGTGTAATTGTGTATGCACGGAGTCCATGCCCAACCGCATTCTTTCCACTCACTAGAAAACAACGTGTGCACAATAAAATGCAGTGATACTCAATCGCACGTCTTCAACTCCCTCGTGTCTATCACATTGGGTGCAACACTCGCTCGGCCCACCGGCGGTCAAAGCGTTAAGCTTGAGGCAAGAGCACGGCAGAGTGGCGGGCGTTAGGACTTGCGAGGTGGCACTCCCTTCCAACCGGTCCATCCACAGTAGCTTACCGTGAGCCCCCAGCAATTTGGGGGTTCAAATTGGGGGACCTCTGGGCCCCAGAAGAACCGCAGCACGCCCAGAGAAAGACAGGCCGGTATTCATGTCAACTGTTGTTTTCACTACAAAGCTCCCCCAAAAGCTTCACCCCAAATGTTGCCCTAAATGGGCCAGGCAGTGCTGCTTATAACTTGTTATACCTCACTCTCTTCTCATTCACCCCATCGTTCTCTTCGGAAACCCCTCATCTCCCTCAAGTTTCGGCACATTTTCTGAGCAGGATCCCTGCAGAATGGCAAATGAGGATTTGGTTATCCCCTCTAACAAAGGCTTAAAACCACAAGATTTCCTGTTCGGACTGAGCAGGGCACTCCGCTTCTGAAGCTCCTGGCGACAAATCGCAGTGGCCCACATCAACCTCAACGCCCGGGTGTTTATGCTTTTGAAGGCGCTGGGTTTTAAAGGAAAGCCAAAAGAAAACCGAAGCCTTTGGGGGACCCCAAAAAAGACACGATATGTACATCCACCTCTCCAAAATCCATCCTGCCCCACTCTCCCTGGGATTCAGGCGGGAGCGCAAGGAGGGAAGAAGGGCTGGGTTCCGGCGACTGCAGCCAAAAAGTGCCACGCAATGACCGTGGCGGGAGTGCTCATCGACTCTGCGAGGCGCCTGCTCCTGATATCAAGTGACAGCAACTTGGCCAAAAGCGAAGGTCGGCTTCATGCTTCCTTGACCTCGTACAAAGCCCGCTGACATCCGCTGACACTGGTAAATGGAGCATTCTCATGTTCCGCACCCATTCCAGGACAGGCAAGCAAACGAGATAGCAAGCATAGCAACATATAGCAACACACAGCGAAAGCAACGAAGTAGAAGCAACTAACGTCCAAACTGAAACAAATCAAAAGCAAATCAATCCATGAAGCAAATCAAAGGCAAGGAAAGTCACCGAAACCAAAGCGAAACAAAGCTGATCAAAGCAAAGCGACAAGAACAGCAACGAAGACGAGACAATTGCACAAAAAAAACGCTGCGCGGGAAGCGGCTCAAGGCAAGGGAAAGCACAAAGCACAGCATAAATCCCAGCAAGTCAGGCTGGAAAGCAAACAAGTCTGCGTGTCTCTTTGAGGAGCTGCACGCACACACAATCAAAAGCAACCCCCTCGAATTCCTCCTCCAGCTCGCACCAAATGGCGGGTTCACCAGACCTGGCGCTTGAAAAGGGCCAACTGTTCCATTGCCAACTTAGGGCGTCGCATTGAGGAACTGGGCTTCCATGGTGCCAGCACCACCTCAATGCCATGGCCAAGCTTGGCGATGTCTCTTGCCTTCCCTCGCACGCTGGGCTGCAAGCTCAGCTATTCATCGGAAGCACACGCCCGTTTTACGTCCAAACGCAAGCCGCCCGCGGTGGAGGCATCATCGAGCTAGCACACCGGCGGCAGCCATGACCAGCTGAAAGGCAACAGCTGCATTGGCGTTGCCTGGGTTCTTGTCCTCAGAATGGCGTCCGGATCGATCCAGTGGAAAACGCCCTTTGGAAGCGTAGGCCGGGAGTCACAACCAATTCGTTGAGTTGCCAGGGTCAACCCTCCAAAACCCGGGACCAACCCTGATGGTTGGCCCCACCTCCACTGTGCAATTTGTCCCAAAAACCGGAGGGTCAGCCCTCACAGGCTGGTTGATATGATGGAACAAAATTCACGTGAACATTTCGGGAGGCTCTGGTCATCAACTTCCCAAAATCTTGCAACTTCACATGTGGCATGTTCAAACTCCTTGTGCAAGCCTTATAAGTGAACTTCACTTGCATGGTTTGGATTTCCAACGCACGGAGGGTGTAAAGGTTTTTTGTTTTTTTTTCGGGTTCCACGTTTGCTTCCACCAAGGCAGGCTGAATGAAGCTAACCAGATTTAAGTCTACCCTTGGTGGAATCAAGGGCTAGGGCTTAGGGGTCTAAGGAAACCGCCCTCTTGGCGGGTTCAAGGGAACTCCGAAACACAAACGCCCCCATTTGTCGGGGCAAAGGCCGCCTCTCCGACTGTGTGCAGGCCAGGCTTCCGGGTGCCATCGAAGCGCCATCTCCCTCCTAACCCTTCGCACCTCCGTGAGGGAGTGCGAGTGCGAAAGCCCCAGCAGCTGACAGGCCTTGGTGCCGATAGGTTTCTTGACAGACCACCCTGCACAGTGCTTGGAGCTCCATGATTTAAAATGGGCACGTTACCCAATAGAAAGGAGTGATGTCAAGGCCCCAATTTTGAAGGGTCATGGAGCCAGGTTCCTATTAAACCTGAATGCAACAAATCCTAAAGAACCATAATATAAGCTCAGCTTGCCCCTTGCCATTTCAGATTGTCAAATTGAGGCCCAAACATGCTGAGCACACGCCGCTTCTTTTTATAGTTTTATTTTCCGAACAATGTTTCAGAGCAAGCCTACGGAGGACAGTTTTGCTACCCTGATCTCTCAATTCGTCAAAGATCGTCGAAGTATTTGGGGGCCAAGACGAGTCGATTTGATGATTTGTTTTTTCGTCGGGCCGCATTTCAAAAAGGCGCCCAGCCTGAATCCGGGAGAGGCTGTCGACTTTCCACCCTTCTTGGATTGCCTGGATCATTGTCTCCTGACACATTCGCACCGCAAATGCGAGAGTAACCCATGCACCACCCAGTGGGAAAGATCAGCAAGACCCCAATCCCTAACCCCCTTGCCAATTCCCAAAAGGGAGTCTACGAATTGGGGAATACCCGTTATGGATCCGCATATAGAGAATTGAATTTTCCTTTCTTCCCTGACCCAATGACGACCCCTTTAGGGGACGAAGCCCGGTTAACACTCCCATCCATGTTTATGGGTTCTTATTTGGGAGCTTGGATTTTGGTGGCCACCAAGAATTTCGAAGGGCCTTCCGTTCTAAACAATCTCAACAATACGGGGGCAAGCCAGGCAAGCCAAAAAAGGCGCTCTAAAAAGAAAACAAGCAGCAAACGCCCTTCCACCAAGCAAGGGCAAACAAAAAAGTACCCTGGAAAAGGGACGCACACGCACACACACAGCACCTCCACTTCGTTCGCCCCTCCTCTGGCGTGCCCTTCGGACTTGAGCTGGAAGCCGGTCCCGGCCCGTAGCGAAACCCGTAGCCGGACTTGGCGGGCCGCGCGTTTTTTCGTTTGGGTACCCTTGGGGTTTCGATTTCTAAGGGGACCCTTGAGGGTTGCTCTGGTTAGGGGTCCGACCCGCAAAACACAAATAGGAACAACAAAAGCACCCCTTTTATGATGCTGCCCAACACAAGCGCTACCCTTTTCAGAATTTATTTCAAATCATTTTTTGTTTGGTCGCCTGTCTTTTGCAGTGCCTATGCTTGAAGGGGACTTCCCAGTTGTGGTGAAAGCAGCATGATTGCTGGTAGGTGATCAACCATTGTGCCATATTGTGCCAATAAAGACAATCACCTTGGCCACAAGGTGGACTCGAGGCCCATAGGGGCGTCCACGAGAATGGGGGACTGTGAAAAGCGAAAGTGAGAGGCAGCCGTTGTTTTCTTGGGATGGCTTCAAGATCAACATCACCGCACGGGACGGAGTTGTGAAGCTTGGGTGGAATTGGTCCACCAAAATGGTTTGTTTCCTTTCGGAATTCCTTTAAATACCACTCAACATGGGGTCCACAATGGCTTCAAGGTGCAGAACTGCAAGTTGCCGTTCAATCCCCCCGAAAACTTGAACGAAATCCTGATAATGAGGGACACACTGCTACCAACAATCCGAAGGACGTGGGAGCATTGGTCCTGGAAATCCGGTTGCGGCTGAGATGAACGGCCTGAGACCTTGGAGAGGCGCGGAGGAGTACGTCCAGCTGCCCGAAGCCCAGGGGTCGGCAGTCGAGTCCGCATTCGAGTAGTCCCGGCCGCGCTGTCTCTCGTATGGGTCCTCCTTAGGGGAGATGATGTTGACAGAGCCTCTCCAAAACCATGTCTGGAATCCAAAGAGCAAACACACGTTTGGTTGAGACTGTCTTAGCCAACCTTCATCCACCCACGTTTTGATTGTCGTTCATCTGAAGCGCTGTCGCGTCGAATCGGCTTCCCGCTCAGCCATGGAGTTTTCAATTCGGAGAGCCGCCCGAGAGAGACAGAGAGAGAGAGAGAGAGAGAGCCCTGTAGAATGGGAGGGCCGTCATTGTACAACGCCGACTTGCGAACATTCTACAAGACACACACACAATTCCACAATCTTGTGCAACACGCGGACACAACTAGCGATCATTCCTCAACACATCAACCTTGGTTGGCTGTCGACTCAGGCAAGGAAATCCTTCCCCCCATTTCCTCACATCTGAGATCAACCATGAACTACGGCAGGGCCTAGGCCATGCCCTATCCACCAACAATGAACAGCTGTGTCGATAGGAGCGATGAGCTCTAAAATGCCCCCGTGGCAAAGCCCAGCGCGTCCTCGAGAAAGTCATCGAAATCCCACGGCACAGATTCCCAGGGCTCATCATCCATGGTGTACCGATAGTAGTCGTCGACGCTGTCATATCGGTCGTCCCAGTCTTCGTACTCCTCTCGCAGAAACCTCAAAGGGCAAAGACTGCCTTGCCTGGATGTTGAGGAGGCCGAGCCAACACGCCAGAGCGCACACACTCGAAACGGAGAATTGATCCCCCCTGTTGCTGGATGGACTGCCTGTATTCAGAATCATGGTTATTCGCAATCGTTCTCTGTTTGTGTGTGCTTATTTTCTGTAGGGGGGTGGGGATTCCAAGTCCCTCCTTCCACCATCCATCCCTTGCAGCTGGGTATTGAAACCGCATGGATCGCATGGCCCTTGCCACCAATTTCACGCATCCCTTCGCGAAACCCCTTCCAAACCCTGGGGGGTTCGACACATAGCCTCTTCAGCTTTGGTGGCCTCGAGCCGGTGGATTGGAGCACCCGCCTCAAATCCCCAAGCCACCAAGGGGTATCTGAGCAGTTGCCCTAGCAACCGAGAACTTGTGGATAATTCTGGAGGTGTATTCATTGAGTGCGGGCTCGGTCTTTTGCCGGGGTGCTCTCTGACCTGCTGGTCATCAATGCCGGAGTTGTAGAACTCCCGCTCCGCGCGAGACCTTGGCCTAGACCTGCCCGCCAAAAAAACAACAAGTGAGCAGTCTGCAACAACCAATTCTTGCACCTTCTCTCTCTCTCTCTCTCTCTCTCTAGATCTATCCCGCAGGGCCCAGATTTCGGAACCTGGTTGGCCCAAACAACTCAAGGAAAATAGCCGGTAAAACGCCAATCAATTCACAAGCAATCCCTCAAGACACTCATTACCCTCCCCCAAAATCGCTCCTTCGAAGCTCAGATTTTGCATCCGATTTTTGCGCATCCCGCCTCCTTGATCTACGGGACCTCCTTGAGAAGCCGGGATCCTCAACCTCCGCAGGGACTCATCCTTACCTTCCCCCCAGTCGGATCCACGCAAACTGCTCCAACATGACATGGGAAGAAAAGCACTCAGATTATGCTGAACCACATGCGGAGATGGAGAAAAAGAACTGGGCTTGAGAATTCTCAATTGGACTGGGGCCCTGTGGAGATCATCCGAGCATTTTGGAGGGTGCTACCTTGAAGCCTGATGGTCGCAATCCATGATTTTTTTGTGAGGCCTCTGCCATCACCTCCTCCACATCTGCCACGTGAATCTTCAGGCGCTCCAATTTCTTGACCTTGAAGCGCAAATTTGCTTGCATATTGATGACCCAGGATGAGCCAACTAACAAGGGAAGCTCTGAGCACTCAAACATCAAGGGAAACATGGGAACGCCTGTTGAATCAGTGGTGTTGATAGGGCTTCATCCATCCCAGTTGGTGTAGGATCCTACCCATTGGCCCCAATGTCTGCCCTGAATCCTCAAGAGAAATGGGCATGTGTGTGTGTGTGTTTATTTTGCTTCTTTTAGGGTACCTTTTCAACTTGGCCAGGGACTTCAAAAGGGAAGCCACAACTTTTTGGGTGCGTCCTTTTCCAGGCGACCCCCAAACTGGTGGTTGTCCCCCCTGGTTTTCCGCTAAAACCCAGCCACCCCCCCAACAAAACGCGGAGAACCCCCTTTTTCGGAGGTCCTTGTCCCATCTTGTCCCTCTGGTTTTCCGCTCAAACCACCCAAAACAGGTGGCACCACTTCTGGACAATTTGTTTTTCCTTTTTTCGGAGGTCCAAAAATCCCGCAGGCGAGAAGCCAGGTCCTCCTTGGGCCACTGGCTAGTCCCCTGCACGCCGCAGAGGTTCAGCACGCTCCGAAGCTGACCCTCCGTGAACTGGAACAAGCCCCCTCTTCGACTTTGGCCCCTGGCGCAATCAAGCGCTGGGGAATCGTCGTTATATAGCACAAGTGCATCCCACGAACCTCTTTTTTTTTTTGGGGGGGGGCTGGTGGTTTCGCTTGTTTTCTCCTGGTGTAGCTTCTTGGGCCGGTTTGAGGGGGAAATCCTGCGGACAGCAACCATCTTTTTGAGGTCCTCCCTATTTGGGGACAAACCCACAATTATACCCACGGCAAGGACACTCCTCCCTTGGCTTAACATAGACAAGCAAACAATGCAAAATTGGAAGATATCCCACAGTGGCTTTCTGAGATTCTGCACAAGCGAGCAAATTGGCACATGCGGCAAGGAAACATCCCAAGTCGCAATCAACACCTGTTGAAGTTCCAAATAGGTGCAAAACCATGCACAAAATACAATTGCAATTGCACATTTTGGTCTGGGGACTCTCCCTACACCCTGGCTGACCCGTATTTCTGAGTTTGGCTTTGAAGATATAAAACCCGCTTACCCTAAGCCTGTGCTTCTAGCTTCAAGTGAGTACCGCGTGTGTGAAACCTGGCAAAGGAAGGACAAAACTTGGGCGCCTCCTCCCAGCGCTCCCAGTCCCCCAGCACTGGGAGTCTGGGTGCTATGGTCACGGGAAGCACTGGGTGCGTACATGGCTGCGCCTGGCTACTTGCGCTTAGACCCCCTGCACAAAATGACAAGTCGAAAAGGCTTCTGAGCCCGGCATCGTAGGTAACCAGAGGAAGCCATCATGGAAAACCTGGAAAAACTGGTTGCCACAAATTCTGGTTGCCGAGTATTGCCAATGGCAAATTCCCAAGGAATCACAGGGCCTGGTGACAACCACCATGAGCTGAGGGATGCGCCTGAACTTTTTCTGCTTGGATCGTTGCTCCTTGGCTCGCTTCTCCTCCTCCCTCTTGGCGTTGGCTGCCTGTTTGGCCTTCTTCCTCGCCTCAGCCTCCAGCTGCGCCAAGCTAGCAAGCGGTGATCGCCACTTGGGCTATAACCCCATAGCCAGGTTAGCCCACGTTGCCAACAACTTACCAACTTGGCCGAACAAATGGTGGTAGAAATGTCAAGTTACCACATGGGGGTTGTGGACATGAAACATGGGGACCCACACGCCATGGGTCCACGCGTTGCCATACCCTGTCTCCGGCCTTCCGATTCATGCGCACTTCCTTCAAGGCCCCTTCCACCAACTCGTAGGGGATGCGCAGCTTCTGAATCCATTGGGTCTCAGCAGGCACGTTTCTTCTTCTGTTTTTGCTCAGGGCACGCAAAGGAATTCCACTCAACGGAATTCTGCCCAAGCCGTCCTGGCCTAACACCTATCCAGCACGGGGGTGCTAACTTTCTTCCTAGAGCCGGCAGGTTTGCCCATTCAGAAGTTGCCGCCCCACCTGTTGTAAGCAGCAGCTTCAGCTTCTGAATGGTGGACCCCAGTTGTGTTGCAATATGTTTTAAGCAAAACTGACGGAAAACAAACCATTTGAGGGGACCCCTGTTTTGGGAACACCCATCTGGGTGGAACGGGGTAATGCGACACTCCCTGGCCCCAAATTCGACAGACTCCACTTCTGTGAAGCCTTCTGTGGGACGAGCGGCCAAGTGATTTCTTCTTTGCACTTTGGGAAAATCGTCGAAGCCGAGGCTTCGCAAAGCTTCTTCCAGTTCCGTCGTTTTCACGGTGGCGAACCAGGGATCATTCCGAGCACCTGGGACGTGCTCAAGTCGCTGCAACCAGTGGGCTGAGGAACATGGTGTTGGAGGATGTTGGAGGGTTGTCAAAATTTAGGGCGGCGCTTGTTGCATGTTGTTGAAAACCTTTAACAGCGGCTCCAGGTTCTAAAGTGGGGCCATATTTTGACAACCCCCGGTCATGGAAAATGGTTCAATGCCGACTCCTCTCGACCACCCTGAGCAACCCACGCAGCTGGGTGCATGGACGCTTGGCCTAGAGCACGAGTGCTGACACAAAGGTGATTCTATGTTGCGTTTACCTCACCAAAGACGCCACACAATACAACAACCTGACATTCTGAGACCGGGGCTCCAGCTGGTCCTCAGTCCCAATTAAACGCTCGACCCAAGCAGCACAAGTTAACGGAAGTGATGAGGCCCGCCGGTATGCATGATGCTCCGCTTGCCAACGAAGCAAAAAGCATGGTGGGAATGCCCTGATGACGAGCCCCAATAGATCCCTGAATGGAGGCCCAGCCCTTTTCTATGAATTAGACAGATGTGGGTTGAAAAAAAAACCCGTGGACAACCCTTGTATCCTTATGCCTCAGTATCGGTCAGTATCGGTTTTTTCCTCTGCATCGGTTTGCAGTGTTTTGGCAGCTCTGGCTCGAAAGTCGCGACTTTTCCGTACAAGTGTAGTAGGCGAAGTACACTCTGCCAGCTCCCAGCCCCAGCTGGAAATCGCAACTTTCAGTACAAGTGTAGTACACAAAGTACAGTTTGGCAGCTCCAGCTGGAAAGTAGCAACTTTTCAGTAGTATGCGCAGGACACTTTGGCAGCTCCGGCTCGAAAGTCGCAGCTTTTCAGTGCAAGCAAGTGTAGTATGGTGTAGTATACGAAGTACATTTTGGCAGCTCCACAGCGGCAGTCGCAACTTTTCAGTACAAATGTAGTACACAAAGTACATGTTGGCAGCTCCAGAGAAGGCTGCAGGGCAGCTGGTTGGATTCGGCATGGCGGCCAATGAGTTGGGTATCGGTTGGGTATCGGTTTGGGTATCGGTTTGGGCCCTGCAAATTTATGATTCCGCAATCTTGGTTTGCGACAACAACTAGGACCTGATGTGTGTCTTCATTGCTTCTGGGGGTATCGGTTTTTTTTCCTCTGTATCGGTTTACAATGGTTTTGGCCTGCGAAACAAGTTAAGGGACGGCCCCTTACATAACGAAAAGGCGCGGGGTATGTTTTTCAGCCCATGTGGACGCAAGCTGCATCAAATTGGTTTGCTATCTGGATTGATGCCAGACATGCGAGGCATTTCTCCAAACCTGCCCTCCCCGAAATCGTGTCTGCCGTGCCTCTTGCATTGCGTGGCAAAAAAATCAGATCCCCCTTTACGAGCTCCATCTGTTCCCCACAGCTAAGAGGAAACCGTCCATTTGGGTTGGGGGGGTGCCTAACAAAGGACACAAACATGGAGTCATCCAGTCGAGGAGTTGGCCGGTTTCGAAACCAAGCCGCGGCAAATCCTGGCGCCCGCGGCTGCAAAAAGGGCCACCACAGGCCAAGCAGTCCTTGGCGAGCTGTCAAGAACACCCCGATGCGGATGGCAAAGCCAATTGGTACGTGGTTTGTTCCATGTTCTTCACAATACGTTTCTTCCATTTCACCTGGCGCAGGATTTCGCTCATCAGTGTGGTCGCCAAGGGTCTGACCCCCTGTGTCCGGGGGCCACAAGGCCCATACGCGACGACTGAATCCCGGAAAAGGTCCTATCGCTTCGAGCGTTTGACTCAGGAGACCCCACACACGTGTTTAAACACTGAGGCTGTTACCACAACTTGACCCTACTGATTAAAGATGAACAATGCGGTGTGTTCATTCTGAATCGCAGGGCCATCTTTGCCCCACACACGTGTTTAAACACTGAAGCTTTTATCCACTACGCACTTCCCGAATGTTAATCCCGTGGCCGTCTTTGATTCAGGAGACCCCACACACGTGTTTAAACACTGAGGCTGTTACCACTACTTTACCCACTATGCACTTCCCTACTGATTAAAGATGAACAATGCAGTTGGTTCATTCTTACCCACACACCTGTTCAAACACTAAAGCTTTTACCCACTACGCACTTCCCGAAAGGATCAAAATGAACAAAGCGCTTTGATCATTCTTAATCCCAGGCCATCTTTGGTCCAGGAGACCCCACACACTTGTTCAAACACTGAAGCTTTTACCCACTACGCACTTCCCTAAAGGTTAAAGATGAACAATGCGCTTTGTTCATTCTTATAACCCCAAAGCCATCTTTGGTTCAGGAGACGTTTAAACACAGAAGTTGTTTTCCACTACGCACTTCCCGAATGTTAATCCCGGGGCCGTCTTTGATTCAGGAGACCCCACACACGTGTTTCAACACTGAGGCTGTTACCAATACTTTAACCACTATGCACTTCCCCACTGATTAAAGATGAACAATGCGGTGTGTTCATTCTTAATCCCAGGGCCATCTTTGATTCCACAGACCCCCCACACCTGTTGAAGCACTGAAGCTTTTACCCACCACGCACTTCCCTAAAGGATAAAGGTGCCAGGGCCATGTTTGGTACAGGAGACCCCACACACCTGTTCAGACACTGAAGCTTTTACCCACTACGCACTTCCCTAAAGGTTAAAGATGAACAATTATTAACCTCAAAGCCATCTTTGGTTCAGGAGACCCCACACACGTGTTCAAACACTGAAGCTTTTACCCACTACGCACTTCCCTAAAGGATAAAGGTGAACAATGCACTTTGTTCATTCTAAAGCTTTCATTCTTAACCCCAAAGCCATCTTTGGTTCAGGAGACCCCACACACGTGTTCAAACACTGAAGCTTTTACCCACTACGCACTTCCCTAAAGGATAAAGGTGAACAATGCGCTTTGTTCATTCTTAATCCCAGGGCCATGTTTGGTTCAGGAGACCCCACACACCTGTTCAAACACTGAAGCTTTTACCCACTACGCACTTCCCTGAAGGTTAAAGATGAACAATGCGCTTTTAAAGCTTTTTTCACTCTTAACCCCAAAGCCATCTTTGGTTCAGGAGACCCCACACACGTGTTCAAACACTGAAGCTTTTACCCACTACGCACTTCCCTAAAGGATAAAGGTGAACAATGCGCGTTGTTGATTTTGGGATAGCCAGGGAAAGGCTTGATTGAACAACTGAAGGGCAACTTCAGCGGTGCACTTCTCCAATCTCAGCATAGCTGGCGAAGTCGTACCGACGCAGCACCCTCAAGACACATCACACACACACAAAAAAAAACCAAACAAGACCGACCGACCGACCGACAGACCGACCCAACCAACCAACCAACCAACCACCCACCCACCCACCAACCAAACAAAACCAACCAACCAATCAACCAACCAACCAATCAACCCCCCAACCAGGCAAGCAAGCCAATCGCCCAACCAACCAATCAACCACCCAACCAGGCAAGCTAGCCCCAACCACCCAACCAGGCAAGCAAGCCAATCGCCCAACCAAACGAGCAAACATTCCCGACCAACCCAAACCATCACTTCATCCCCACGCCAACTCGCCAAGGCACCCAGGGCGCCCGAACCTTGCGGGGCCAGCGCGATCGCATGGGCGCCCTGGGCGTCCGAGGAAAATCATTGAGCCATAGCAATAGGATGTACAGCAAGAGGACTCCCTGATGGTTCATACAAGAGTGTGAACTGTTAGCCTCTGTCCATGCAAGCTGCCACCATTCATGAACAGTAATTAGCAAATCACCTGGACAAGGAGGGGAAGACAAAGCGGTATACATCCCCTAAAGCGGTGTTTAGGTTTATATCCAATAAAAACTCCAATACCTGAAAATTTCCTTGATGGCCTGGTTGTCCTTTGGGTTGAAGCAAGTCTTCTTTTCCCGAAGGGTCCCAATGAAAGGAATCAACCAGAACCTTTCTGCGGGCATGATTTCATTGTCCAAACGGACATGTGCGCGTATGCCTAAAAAGTCCACGCGGAAACTTGTGTTGCTTCTTCAAATGGGCCACGCCCATATTGCACGAACGGCTTTTGATGGAAACTCGTTTTCGGGTTCGGAAGCCATGGGCCCAGTCAGAAGCCCAACTGGGGCAGCCGGCCGGGCAGGGATAGAGGACCGAGCCTCTCCTTACGCTTCAGATCACCGAAGGACATGGCTGGCGCACATGCAGAATTTCGTCGTGAACTTGCTGTGACTCGCAGAGGGTCATTGTTTTGGGCCAGGCTCCAAAGGATCAAAAAGTGGAGATTCGCTTGGAGTCAGGCTGCAGAGACCGACATCGCGGCAGACAGCTTGCAATTCCAAGCTTCCCAGGACCCACTCACGGCCACTGGCAAAGCCTGCATGGCGCCCGCGGCAAGCGGCAAGCGGCAAGCGCAGGGCGCCAAGCTCCGGTGAGAATCCGGGGCCGAAACGGGCGCGCTCCCTGCAGCCAGAGCGGCTGCAGTTTCTCCTTTGAAACCAGTGAGAGCATGGAACCCCAGGTCTCAGCTTTAAGCGGAAAGCTGCGTGTCCAAGCGCGGCGCAGAGTCAGCATCCTCCTCTTGGAAGGGAGACACCTGTCGAGTCGTCCCAGTTTGAGGGCCTCTGAAACTCTCGTGGGCGGAACCGGCTCCCATACAAACAGCTCCACATGTCCCGATTTCTCTCTCCACGATTTTCTGTTGGCCAGGCTGCTTGCCTGAAGCAGTTGCGCATAATCCTCGCACCGCGTGGCTGTGACTCCCCAGGAACTCACAGCCCATGACCTTGATTGAGCTTAGCCTATCGTGGGAACCCCGGATGAATAAGCCCATCCTACCAATTGAAAGGGTGTCACCCGGAAAAGCGATGGCTTTAAAAGGGACACTCCCCAACATGGGTCTATGAATCTGGGGCCGACATTCCGACACTTGCCACGGCTGACAGCCGCATTTCGGTTTGTGCCACCGTTGGCTTTCACGCACCCAAAGCGTGCGCGTCTACCCGCGCGTGTGGTCTTGCGGTGCGAGTTGGTTTCGGGCCGGGGGCCTTCACGTTCGAAAGCGATGGGGGCTGCGCAGACGCCTCCGCTGCTGGAAGGTCGCCAAACGCCGCCCCGCCATTTGCACGATGCTCCAGCTTCCTTCGAAGCCAAGGCCCCACATCCGGCATAGTCACAAGAAAGCCTGGTAAAGTGGCGAAGCAAAGAACAGGCGGCCGCACCTGACCTGTTTCTGGTTGGGACTGTCCCTTCCCACCTTTCACCTCGGGTTTTTGATTCTTGAGGTGAACCCGTGCCAAACGTCCGAACTTCGCTTCCGAGCTGAGCTCGGGGGGCAATGTGCATCGCGCCGTTTCACCCAATCGAAGGTGCTAGACATTAGGCGTGCAGTCGAATCCGATTCCAGGCCTTCCATAGCCAAAACAAGGCCTGGATCAGAGCGCGTACGTTCGGACTGCCCGGGTTCTCACTTGGCCAAGTGGGGCCTAGACGTATTTCCTCAAGGATAGGTTTTGAACATCACAAAAACACCCAGACCAAACCCCAAAGCAAGAATATCACAGTGGTGACGAGCAAACGAGTAACGTGCAAACCAAAACCACCACCCACAAATACATAACCTCCCCACCTCCGCAAAGGCCAAACCTAGAAATGCTGATCAATGGGTTCCAAAGCTGATATGGGTTCCGAATGTCTCCAAACCCGAACCCAAAACCTCCTTCTTTGAGGTCTTTGGGGAGTCAATCGCCCCAAAGCATTTAGGTTCTTAGGTCAGGGAAAAGGATCTTCTTGCCATGTAAGGTGAGGGGATCTCTCGGAAAATTTCCTCGAGCGTCCGAAGAAAGAAATCCGGTCTCACTGCAGCAGCTTGCGAACTGGCGAGAACATGAAGGCCGGATCATTGCGAGGGCCGTAGAACCACGCTTTGAACCTCAGCTTGCCAGCCCATACTGACGTTCATCTACGAAGGTTTTGATGGCCGGATGCGGCAAAGGATTGCAGCATGGCTGAGTGCTGCGCTCATCGATGGATAGCCGTCCATCATGGTTCCTGAGATGGCGGCTGAGTTCATGCATCCTTGGCAGCCCTCGGCCAGAGCTCTTCAGATTGCCAACCCTCTTTTTGCATCTGGGCGTCAAATCCGCAGACTTGAAGCACTCCAGCGACGTCACAGACGCCAAGTCCTAAGGCACAGTTTGGTCCAAAATTGGCTGCGATGGATTCACGGGTGCGCCTCTGCAGACTCCACAGTCACGCCCATGCTGTTCATAGCCCCAATCACAGCCTCACGCCGCAGTGTATCCAATGCAAATTCCTAAAATCGGGGGGCCACATGTTTAAGGAAGACCTCCAGTTGCCGACTTTGATACAGCCTCAAACCGCCAAAATGCCAGCATTTCTTACCATTTACCTACCCACAGAAGTTGTGTCATCTACTGTCATGACGTCATGAATCCCAAGAAGGATCCTTTCCATGATTGACGGCCAAGAAACGGGCGTCAGCACCACCTTGTAGACAGATGTGAGGAACTTGTACATCTCATCCATGGAGATGAAGCCTGCGAATGAAGGAAAGGGAAAACGGGAAACGCGACACTTCCCAGAACAAAAGGTTGCAAAACCCAAGTATCTACCAAGCTGCCGTCGTCATTCTCGTCGAACACCTTGAACACAGCCTGGATCTTGTCATCCTGTACAAAGCATGTACTTCCTCACCCTGATCGTGCCAAGTAATGAGAACCCCAATTCAATAAAACTCCTAGTTGTGTGATAGGTCAATGCTTGATGGCGGAGTAGACTTGAACAATGGGGCTCCCCTAAATCTATCACCTTGAGCTGATTTCTACCTTGGCGCCCAAAAACAGAGGCTCCAACCTGTACTCAACACCCAACCGCTCCCCTTCGGAGCCCCATGACTGCCCACATGACCACAGATATCCTCGGAGCCCTTGCAAAGCAAAGAGATGCCGCAGACCAGCTCCATCATATCCTCACGTGCAGGGATATTTGACTCCCAACCTTGTCGGTGAGGGGAAACGCGCATGTTCTCGCGTGTAGGCTTTCACAGCTTTCAACAAAGCAGTGTGAAAGGACTGCCCTCTCACCTATCCTCCAGTCGGAGAATGTCGCGGCACTGGGTGCAACGTCAAAGGCATTTGTATATGTGTGTGTGTGTGCGCGTGTTGGTGTGTGTTGTTTTGGTGTCTTGGTGTGTGTTGGACTGTGTGTGTGTGTGTGTGCGCGCCGGCGTGTGTAGATGTGTGTGGGCGTGTTGTTGTGCGTTGGTGTGTGGGTGTGTGGTGTGTCGTGTGTTGTGGCGTGTTGTTGTGTTGTGTGTAGGCGTGTGTGTGTGTGTGTGTCTCTGTCTGTGTCTGTGTGTTGTGTGTTGTTTGTTGTTTGTTGTTGGCTGTTGGTTGTTGGTTGTTTGTCGTGTGTTGTGTGTTGTTGGTCGTTGGTTGTTGGTTGTTTGTGATTGGTTGTTGGTTGTTTGTTGCTTGTTGTTTGTTGCGTGTTGTGTGTTGTGTGTGTGTGTGTTGTTTGTCGTTTGTCGTTTGTCGGTTGTCGCCTGTTGTTTGATGTTTGTGTTGTTGTTGTTGTTGTTGTTGTTGTTGTTGTTGTTGTTGTTGTCGTCGTCGTCGTCGTCGTCGTCGTCGTCGTCGTCGTTGTTGTCGTCGTTGTTCCTGTTGTTGTCGTTGTTGTTGTTGTTGTTGTTGTTGTTGTTGTTGTTGTTGTTGTTGTTGTTGTTGTTGTTGTTGTTGTTGTTGTTGTTGTTGTTGTTGTTGTTGTTGTTGTTGTTGTTGTTGTTGTTGTTGTTGTTGTTGTTGTTGTTGTTGTTGTTGTTGTTGTTGTTGTTGCTGTTGCTGTTGTTGTTGCTGCTGCTGCTGTTGTTGTTGTTGTTGCTGCTGCTGTTGTTGTTGTTTTTGTTGCTGTTGCTGTTGCTGTTGCTGTTGCTGATGCTGATGCTGCTGCTGCTGCTGTTGTCTGTCTTTGTTGTTGTTGTTGTCGTCGTCGTCGTCGTCGTCGTTGCTGTTGCTGTTGCTGTTGCTGTTGCTGTTGCTGTTGCTGTTGCTGTTGCTGTTGTTGTTGTTGGTGGTGGTGGTGGTGGTGCTGGTGGTGGTGGTGGTGGTGGTGCTGTTGCTGCTGCTGCTGCTGCTGCCGCTGCCGTTGTTGTTGTTGTTGTTGTTGTTGTTGTTGTTGTTGTTGTTGTTGTTGCTGTTGCTGCATTTTGTTGTGCGATGGTGCATGTGTATATGGTATGGTGTGTGTGTGTTGGTGTTGTTGTGTGTTTGTGTGAGTGTGTGTGGGCTGGTGTGTGTGTGTGTGTGCGTTTCTTAAGCTCGGTCGCCCCTTTTTGCAGCTTGCGGAGAGAACTAAACGGAAACCGACGCAAAGTTTTTATGGCTCAGGTTCCTTTCTGATGCGTACCCACATGAGCCTTGGTCAAAAATGCTAAGCTCTCGCGAAGGAGTGTGAGAAAATATGAGCCTGATTCTCCTGGTTTTTTGTGGTAGGAATTCCAGGCCCGTTCCATGTACCCTCCCAGTGAACCACAAACTGCTGGAGCTTTTGCCCGAACCACGTCTGTCTCAAACAGTTAGGGGTGGTTCCAGTTTAGCAAGGACATGATCCAGTTGATGTGTTCCTTCGACTAGTCGGGTTTTTGCATTTGCGGGTTAGTCTGAAGTAATATTGGGTTACCCAAACCCAAGAGCCCGCTTTGGGGGATCTGGTTCTTCACGTGCCATGTTTCACCCCAAATCGGCGAAGGTGCGACGATGTTGTTGTCATCGCGGTCGAACAAGTCGAAGACTGCATTCTTCACCTCATCCTTCGGAACCTCCACCTGAGATCCCTAGCTCATCAAAACGGCTTCAGATTGGTTTAGGCTTGGTTTAGGTCTTCGGGTTTGTCTAGGGTGAATGTTGCGCTTGTTTAAGTGGGTTTATGGTTGAGTCAACTGGTGCAACTTCAGTGCGTGCTTTCCGGCTTTCCCTTCAAAACTTATGGAATGGGCACAGGAGACACCCACAACCATGGTCATGGCTTACGTTGGGAAGCCAGTGCCTACCATTCCTCAGTACTGCCTGCCCTCAAGTAGAGGAATGTTTTGCCCATGGGCATTTGCTTGATCAACGTCCAACCCGACCCTAAACCAGGGTTCAAATCTGTTCTACCGTCATTTTAGTACAGGGTGCTTCGTAAGCCACCTTCAAACAAAACTGCTGAACCCGAAAAGGGATGGGAAGTTTGATGAGCCCCTCGGGCTTTGTTGCTTGAATTTAGTGAAAGCTCCCCAAATGCCCGAGACTATCGGACTTTGTGACTGGTGATGCAGTTTGTCATGCGACACACTCAGTGATACTCTGGATCCTCAAAATGGTTTGATTCCTTTCGGCGTCCCTTCAACATTCAAGCTAAACTGGGCACCCCCAAACCAACACGCACCCACACACAGCACACACACACACACCCACACATGCACGCACCTATATGAGCAGTGCCCAGAACCCAAAGACTTGTGGTTCACAAAAGTTTAGACAGGCCCTTTCCTATCACCCCAGTTGGACCAAGCAATTCTAGTAGAACTAGCTACTACCATGGGCAATGGCTTTTTTTGGGGCACTTGCATGGAACCAAATTTTGACCCCTGGCCGGGTGCCTTGTGGTCCTGGAGCAGGGAAGAATAAGCTTCCAGAAACTTCTCGCGCGTCAGCTTGCGATCGATCCTAAGTGCCGCACACAACCAGGTTTTGGCTGGGCCCGGTCTAAGAGAGTCTTGTTCAAGGGACCCTCAAATATGATGGTTGTTCCTTTCATTTTCCCCTTCTGGGGCGCCGTTCGTTGTTTACAAGGGCACCTCAAGAAAAACACCTTTTATTGCCCGGGGGGGGCGCCTGTTTTGGTTTGGGGCCCGGTGGTTTGGAAACTTGCCTTCAGCCAGCTGACATGCTTGAGACCCAATCCAAACCACCAAGGAATGGTTGTTGGCCCCGTTCTTCAACCAAAGAAACCCTGCAAGTGGCAGGTTAAAGGGCAAACCACCCCACTTTCTGACTTTGATACCCCATAGAAACCGTCAAACAACTGAGCACAGTGGTTAATAATTCACAAGCCAGAAATGAGGAGGGATAAAGAGGAGTAATGTCGCAATCCTGCGGAAGGTGACGTGGCCGCATGTTGTTTTGCCCACTGGACTTGCAATGCCATGCAACGCAATGTATGGGTGGATGTATGGATGACGTGTATGTATGTATGTATGTATGGATCAATGGGCAAACACGAAGAAGAACATGATCGCATTTTGTCTTCCCAAGGGTTGTCCCCATCCATGCTGAGCCAAGGCACTCGTCTCCGGCAGCATCTGTGGCTGCTGACTGCTTGAAGGCCTGGCGAGGCAACCCACTCTGAGACCCTGGGACTCTGAGTCGAAGGCCCCACCTGCAGCCCATCGTTCACGGGAATTTCCTTGAGGCCACAGGTCTTCCGCAGCTCCTTCCTCGCGCTGAACCGCATCGGCAGGTCACCCTAAAAGTATTTTTTCACTCATGGGGGGGGTCCCTCACACACGTACAGCCTGTTGACCGTACGGTAAATCACCAGGCCGAGGCGCAGGTTCTGCAGCTGCTCGTCTCTCTCATGTTTGGTCTCGTAGGCGCTCTGCGAGTAGGCGGGGCCGCCCACGGTGTTGGGCCGCGCGGCGGTGGATTTGGCCACCACGGGCATGGCTTGGGAGGTGCGCACCACCCGTGGGGGTCCCGAGGAGATGGGCGCGTAAATGGGGGCTTGCTTGGGCATGGTGGTCACCAGCCGGCCCTGCGGCACGTTGCCGCCCGGCACACCCATCATCGGCATTGGCTGGCCCACCGGCTGGCCTGTGAAAACCGGGGCGGGCTGGCCCGGGCCTGCCACTGGCATCGGCTGAGCGTAGCCGGCGGCGCTGTACGTCATCTGCACCGGCTGCGGGGCACCCGCAGGGCCCGCCGGACGGTAGTAGACTTGGGGCGAGGATGCCGGGATGGCCGCCGGGTACGCTGCGGACTTTGACACAACTTGCATGGGGCGCACAGGCTGACTGGCCATTGTACCTGCACTCACCGGAAACCCGAGCTTTGGGCCGAGAAACTGCCTGGATAGTGAAGCTACACT